TTTAGAGAGATGAAAGGAGACATAGAAACATCAATGAGAGAGAACATCAATTGGCCGCCTCCTGCATGCCCCACACTGGGGATCAATCAGGCCCACAACCTGGGCATGTGCCCTGACCGGGAATCGAACTGGCAATCTTGTGGTGCGTGAGTCGACGCTCAACCCCCGAGCCACACCGGCTGGACCCAGAGGGGTTCTTTAAAGATGAGTAGGAGCAGGAGCACATTCCAGACAGGCAGTCTCAACTTGGGGCAAAGGCATAGACTCGAGGTTCAATACTATTGGCATGAAAGTTCAAAGTAAGGGGTGTGAAGATATAAACAGAAGAGGACCAGGTCATGGAGAGGATGTCATATTTAATACTTCAGACTATCGATGGTTCTCAGGGAGCATGCTGCAATAAACTTCATCACGAATCTTCACAGAGTGCTGTCAAAGCTTGACCGGTACGTAAAAATATTTTTAGGTAGTGTTTTTGAAGATACAGGGTAGAACGAAAGGTTTACAGTTATGAGTATGCAAGAGTTTATTCTTGTACTTTTATTATTTTCCATACACACAACTGTAAATCTGCTTTTGCCCCATCTTGTATTTTGATGTGATGAGTTATAGCAAAACAAGCCAGCAAGTAAAATCAGAAAATTAGGCCCCCTCCAAAAAAATACTATGCTCAGTTGGTTGACATTGTCCCAAGAACTGCAAGGTCGCCGGTTTGATTCCCAGTCAGGGCACATGTCCAGGTTTCAGGTTTGATCCCTAGTTAAGGGCATGTAGGGAGGCAAGTGATCAGTGTTTCTCTCACATTAATGTGATCCCCCCGCCCCCTAAAATCAATTACACACACACACACACATTTTAAATCCTCACCCGAGGATATTTTTCCATTTATCTTCAGATAGAGTGGGAGGGATGGGGGGAGAGAAAGAGAGAGAGGGACAGGGACAAACCGCAACTGAGACCCCTACCCTCAACCAGAATCAAACTTGCGACTCTTTGGTCTGTGGGCAGATGCCCTAGCCGCTGAGCCAAACCAGCCAGGGCAAAAACACTTTCTTTAAAAGACTATGTGGTTAGCCCTGGCCGGTTTGGCTCAGCGGTTAGAGCGTCCACCTGCGGTCCAGAGAGGCCCGGGTTCGGTTCCTGCTAAGGGCACGTACTTCGGCTGCAGTTTGTCCCCGGCCCTGGTTGGTCGTGCAGGTGGCAGCCACTCGATGTGTCCCTTTTGCATCGATGTTTCTCTCTCTCTCTCTTCCTCTCTCTCCCTCCCACTCTATCTGTACAAAAAATGGAAAAATGTCTTCGGGTGAGGATAAAAAAAAAAAAAAAAAAAGACTATGTGGTTAGCAAAACATTTAAGATCTTTACTTCCTGGCTCTGAAAAAATATGTAGCTGAGATTCTACCCGTCAGCCCAGCTGGAATGGTGGTTGTTTGAGTGTCAGTTGCTGTGTACCAAAAGGTTGCAGGTTCAGTTCCTGGTCAGGGCACATACCCCGGGTGGTAGGTGCAGTCCCCAGTCAGGGCGTGTGCAAAGGCATCAGATCGATGTTTCTCTCTCTCTCTCTTTTCCTTCCTCTAAGTATGTTCTCCAGTGAGGAGTACAAAAAAGAAAAAAAAGGTTTCACTTGTCATGGCCAGAAAAAAGTAGATGGAGTCCCCTGCTGGTCAGCTTTCCCCCACAGATGTGATGAGGGCGCTTCCCTTCCACCAGACTGTCTCTCCCACGACTCCTGGGCCAAGAAGGGTTCACACGGGGGTTTGGACAGTGGCAAAGCCTCGGGACTCAGGCTGCTCCCACTGCTGCTCTGTGACCTCAGGGGATCTGCATGCAGCTGACGAGGCGCAGCGCCGGGGTGGGGAGGAGCTCGGTGGGATTAGACATGGGGGGAGGGCAAACCGAAAAGCCACCTCAGTTTATTATTTATATATATTGTTGTTGTTGTTAATCCTCACCCGAGGATTTTTTCCCATTTTTTTAAGAGAATGGGAGGGAGAGAAACATGGATGTGAGAAAACACATGTATTGGTTGCCTCCTGCACACGCCCCAACAGGGGCCAGGAATTGAACTCGCAACCCAGGTACATGCCCTTGACCGGGAACCGAACCCGAGACCCTTCAGTGCTCAGGCCGATGCTGTAACCACTGAGCCACACCAGCCAGGGCGAAAACTCCTGAGTTTAGTATCTCTAAATGATCCCCTCTTCTCGGGGTAAGCCGTTCGAATGCGCAGCATCACGGCAGTGGAGGGTGGTGCAAGTGAATGTTACACAAACCACAGGACCCAGAGGCTGCTGGGAACCGGCCGGGGTGGGTGTGGCTGGCCAGAGTGGGTGTGGCTGGCCGGAGTGGGTGTGGTCGGTCGCAGTGGGTGTGGCTGGTCCAGGAACCTTGTTCCAGTCCCAGAGCTCCGAGGACGCTGCGCCGGGGCAGGCTGTTTCCGCCTGGGGAGGCAGGGAGACAAACGAGCACTGCATCCATGCCCAGTGCCCTGCCCTGGACTCCGTGGTCCTGCCGTTTCCGAGACGGAGGCCACGCGCCCAGTGCAGAAGAGGGGTCCGCAGTGCGTCATCCAGATTAAACTGCCGCAGAACCATCCGGGACCGTGTATACGGGTGGAACTTCCAGGGACGCGGCTATATTCTGAAGACCTGACAGGACCCTCTTTCAATGTTCACATCTACAATTATGTCCCTACCCTCACCCCTTAGCGTATGGAAGTGGGCAACTCCTATTTCAAAGTTTCCTTTCTGCAATTTATTGTTATTGTACCGCCACTTGCCTGTGTCCTGGATTGTAAATCTGTTCATCCACTAGTGTCCATCTGAACCGACTGACATGTTGACACCGCAGCGAGGCAGTCTCTGAGCCCTCCGGTGTACCACCAAAACAGCACTGCTCCTTAACATCCAATTCTTCCTGCCGGTCTTGGGGTGGGAAACGAGTGGGCTGGGTGATCATCCGTGGCCGCGAGGACGGAAATGAAAAGGAACGTGTTGGAGCCGCTGCCCTGGCACAGGCGGAGAGATGCCATTTCACTCCAGGGCCCTCCAGCGAAGGGGAACTAGGGCTGTACCTGTCACCAGCCGGGGATCCCAACCCAGAGCTGAGCGACCCGGGCTGAGCGAGCAGTGGCGAGGGCACGGACCTGAAGCCGGGCACAGCGATCAGATGCCAGCACACCCGACTCACCTTGGGCGGTGAACACACGGGAAACACCGTCCTGGGGCTCTCCGTCCTAGCTGGCACGGCAGCTCGGAATCACCCGATTAACGTGGGGATTAGCGTGGGGTGCTGAAGCTCAAGGCGGGAGCAACAGCGGAGGCACTCCAAAGTGAGAGGGACGACGGGATTACTGGGTGAGGAATGGGGGGACAGTGGCACCTGGGGCTTAAACGTGAGCTCATTCTAGAGACTGAGATCAGGGGCACGGGCAAGGCAACGGTCTGCATCAACTGCTAGAACTACAGATACTCGGAACCCGGCTGAAACATTCTCTTCCACCATTTCCCCTGTATCTACTTAGGGCGCCTGTTATCTGCTCGTCCGCCTACCACCCCACACCCCAAGGAGATTAAGAAGTGCGGGTCAGCTCGGTACACTCAGTTCCACAGGAAAGCAGAGCGGTCTAAGTATCCAGCCGGCGCGTGATAAGGCAGGGAAACCCCTTCTCTTCTCCACCGGGATGCAAACGATGAGAAAGGACGCAGAAGGCAGCACTTTTAAGTGAAATGTTTACATTTATATTGAAATATGCACTAAAACAGAATGAGTTCTACTAGTCAATGAAACTTTGCCAAAGCAGAATCACAGACTTCCGTTGGGGAGGCCCAGTCGGCTAGCAGCAGTGACCCCCACGCAGGAACACCAAGGAGAAGCCTGGGAGGCCCCACTCCACAGCCTCCTTTTCAGTGACCCCGACTCACTTCTCCCACATGCATCCACACTGATGGAGGAGCTCGGACCCGCTGCACACTCTCATGTATTTTTAGTCTCTTCACTGCAATAAATACAGAGTTGGCGATGCTCACAAACCGCAGCACAGACAGTATTTCAGGCGTTAGCACACAACTGTAAACAGTGACTAGGTTAAAAACATAAAAAAGGAATTTGGAATTTAACAACGAGACAGAATTCTTAACAGCAGGGCATAAGCTACTCCAGATTTGTTTTGGGTGGGTTCAGGTTTTTGACAAAAGAGAGAGTCCAAATAGGCCCATGACAGACTGGACGCTTGTGGGCAGCAAGGCCCTTGATCTCCCCTGGCCGGACAACTTTCCCTGCCACACTCAAGGCGCGACCACGGAACCTTCCAGTGCCATCGCCGGCTGCCGCTGCAGGTGCAGGAGGGTGAGGAGGGGATTGAGCCTGCTGGCAGAGGAACAGAGCGGCAGCTCTGCTAGCCGCCTGGGAAGGTGGCCCCTGCATCGCAGTGACGACGGGGACACCTCACTTGGACAGGGATCCAAAGGCGGGGCAGGAAGTTCTGTCGCTGCAGCACACTGGGAGGCCACGGAAGAAACAGAGGACACTTTGCCGACAGCCGTGCTGGCAGGAAATGAAAGCGGACTCAGGATCTCTGCACATTAGCGATGGGCAGACTTGTATTTAAAAGGCTAGTGGTTCAAATACTATTGCTCAGATAGCTCCGGGAGACAGAAAACGGGTCACGTGTCAGCTCTGCACACATAGGCACTGAAGGCCCCGCGCAAAGCGACGTCGCAGCAGGCCGTTGCATCCTCTGCTGCGGGAGCGGCAGCCGGAGGGGTCTGTCTGGACCGTACTCCCACCCTCTGGCAAACAGAGGACCTGGACAGAAATCTGTCTCTACACCCAAAATTGTGGCTTCATCATTCTCCCTAGAATTTTACCCCAGCTAAAAAAAAAATCTGTCTTGAAAAATTCAAGAACCTGTGCTACTAAAAAACAAACAAAACAAAAATTAAAAATAGTAAACAAGTTTAGTAAACACCATGTGTATTTTCTTTTGTTAATGAAGACATGATACATTCAGAAAAGTATGTTTTTTTTTAAAGACAAAAACAAAACAATAAAATTCCTAGAAAGAGGCTTGACAAGAAAAAACAAAGCAGCCCAAGCGCTAATCCTCACAACCAGAACCGGCTCTCGGCGCAAATCGGCAACCCCTCCGGCCACAGAAGCACTGCTGTTTGCCTGGCAAGCAGAATACGAAACATGTGCCTTAGTTCCTGAACTTGAACGTTAAGCGAGATTTCTGCAGAGTACATCTGGATGGGCTACTTCAATATCTACCTGGTCCAGTTTGAAATATGTGTGTAGGTCCAGTTTGTACACATTTCATAGGTATACTGAACAATATAAAACATCTATTGTCCCATTACTTTAAAAATGGCAGTTCTTGTAGCTCCAACAAACCATTCAGATTATTAAGAGCTCTCCTGAAAGAAATCTCAGATGAAGATACATTAAAGAGAAAGCCTTCAAGTTAAACAAACCTCGTTCTTTTCACTACAATGGTGGGATCAAGTAGAATGCCTATTCTGAACAGTTTCACTTGTTTCCCCATGAAAAATGGCCAAATTTTTCTGGACTGATATAATTTAAAACTAAGACAATAAAAAAATAAAATATACACCTTAAGATACTATAAAACTTGAGATAATGTCAGGGCTCATGGAATGGAAGGTAAGAGTTCTGATCCCTGCCCCAAAGGAAACTGTCACAGGCTCTCAGGGAAAACCGAGCAGCCAAGCAGGACGGCTGTGAGCGCACACAGGCTCTAGCACAGAATGCACACGGGAACTAGCCACGCGTCAGAAACACACGGGAGGACTGGCTGGCACTCAGCGCCCCGCGACAGAGCTCCGAGGCCCGGAGCGGGTTACAAGCCTGTAACGCCACCAAGGACTGCCCGCCCCCGAGGAGCACAGGCTGCATGCACGGGCCATCACAGACGTCACATTCAGCAGCATAAAAATAAAACCCCCAGAGTCCCCGACTGGGGCGAAACCTATTTTCACAGCTAAGCCTGGGAAAGACTGAGTGGGACAAACTCACTTGGAACTCCCGCATCTGAATGACAAGCGTGTCCAATCTGATGCTACGTGTTAAAACACTGAGAAGACATGTGAAGAAAGGGAAACAGAAACTAAAGGCTAAATTATGATCCTCGAAAACTGGAAAAAAAACATGTTTTAAACCCAAGTAGGTGCGATTCCGATCATTATTATATATGACCTAATCCGTAGAGAGAAAGGCCAAGAAAAACATCTTCATTTGTTCAGTACTTAGGCTGACGTCGTTCTAGGTAAAGCAGTGATAATTCAATGTGTCATACGTACAACTAAAAAGTCCCCTTCTGGTTTCAAATACATTTAAACAATCTCCCTTGACTAATTTTTCTCCTGTGTCAAACAAACTCATGTACAGGACCGGTTTAAATCCCTCCTCCCTTCCAAACACGAGATGTGAACATCCGGGAACGTCCCACAGTGCGAAGTGCCTTAAGAAAGAGAGGGGCTCTGCAGTGCCAGTGACGTAACCGCTCTGAGGAAGCTGGGGTGCTGGAACACTGACGCCCAGTCAGGCAATGGTGGTCTGCTTCTCCTCAGGTGTCTCCTCCAGCAACTGCATGATCAGTTCATGGAGGGGTTTGCAGATCTTTGCGTAGCCCCCTCCTGTGAGATGCAGAAAATCAAACATGTCGTGGCAGGAGATGGCACCGTCCGAGTGCACGAAGCCCCCATCCGTATCCAGGAGCTGAACGTTGGCAAGCTTTGGCAGGGAAACCTTGAGGAGCTGGTTCACCTTGGCATTTTTTTGCCTCAAAGGGTTGGGCTTCTCACCTCGAGGTAATAAACCCTGGGGCAGAACAGAGAAGAACAATGATGAGAAGAGTCACTTGCTGTCTCTATTTGGCATTTGTTACAGCTTTGCTTTCTGAAACAATGGGCTAGACTAGTTTGAATGAAAGTTCTCTGACCATTCAGGCTCAGTCTCTCACGAGTTCCCCTTCCACCTCCTGTCCCCTAATTGCCGGTATCCTTAGGGTCGTCTTGGCTCACTTCCCACACTAAACACTGGCCCAGATCTCTCCCCAGAGCTCCGGAACTACATAGGAACATCAGCCGCACAAGGGAAGTTGAGTGCTCCGGAGGCACGCCCGATCTAACGCGTCCAAAAGCAACTCGTCCAAAAGCAACTCATCTTTCCCCAAACCACACTCCTTCTAGTCTCTGTATCGACTGCTCATTCCAACATCCGGACTCTCTCAACCCACACACCTTCTTTATTTATCATTCGATCACTCAGCTTTTGCATCCTATACGTTTTTCTAACTCACTCTTTCTTCCTCCATTCCGAGTATATACACTGCCATGGCCAGGGAACTTGTCACACTGTCCACACTTCCACTGATGCGCAATCTCCCGATTTGTCTTTCTATGTCCACAGCTGTCTTTCCTTCATATCACTCTCAACATAGTCACTAGAATGATCTAGCTCGAACACACCTGTTTATTAATGCCACATGGAACCTACACTACTACACATGAGAAACAGAGCTGGAACAAATGCTATCTTAATGAATCAAAGACAATATCTGGTAGGTTAAAACTGAGATGCGTCCTAAATCTGTTTTTAACTTATATGTTAATGATCTAATGATTTCAAATAAATCAGGTATCTGCCCTATAATATATAAAGACCTGGTCTTACATGATAAGAGCAAGGTTTTTATCATCTCAAACCAGAAATGGCCTTTTCAGACATGAAACCTATTATAAAATTGACATCCCCAATCTTCTAGTTGGTTTACAGCTAATGATGTCATCAATTTCTGCTACAGAGCATGTAAGAGCCCAGCTGGCGTGGCTCAGTGGACTGAGCGTCATCCCATGGACTGAGAGGTCTTGGTTCAATTCCCAGCCAGGGCACATGCCCAGGTTGCAGGCTCGAGCCCCAGTTGGGGATGTGCAGGAGGTAGCCAATCAACGTTTCTCTCTCAATAAGAAGATACTAAAAAAAAAAAAAAAAAACCTGGCTGGTGTGGCTCACAGGTTGAGTGTGGACCCATGCACCAAGAGGTTCACCAGTTCGATTCCTGGTCAGGGCACATGCCCGGGTTGTAAGCCCAATCCCCAGTGGGGGGTGTGCAAGAAGGCGGCCAATCAATATTCTTGCTCATTGATGTTTTGATCTCTCTCCCCCCCTCTTCCTCCACTCTCTCTAAAATCAATAAAGAATCAAATATTTTTTAAAAAAGATTAATTTTTTATGCCCAGAGTAAGCACTTGTTCTATTAAAATTTTTTTAGCAGCGCCCTGGCCAGTTTGGCTCAGTGGTTAGAGCGTCGGCCTGTGGTCCGGAGAGACCTGGGTTCGGTTCCCGCTAAGGGCACGTACCTCAGTTGCAGTTTGTCCCCGGCCCTGGTTGGTCGTGCGGGTGGCAGCCACTCGATGTGTCCCTTTCACATCAATGTTTCTCTCTCTCTCCCTTCCTCTCTCTCCCTCCCACTCTATCTGTACAAAAAATGGAAAAATATCCTCGGGTGAGGATACAAAAATAAAAAATAATAAAATAAAATTTTTTCAGCAGCCCTGGCCTGTTTGGCTCAGTGGTTAGAGTGCCGGCCTGTGGTCCAGAGAGAACTGGGTTCAGTTCCCACTAAGGGTATGTACCTCGGTTGCAGTTTGTCCCCGGTCCTGGTTGGGTCGTGCGGGTGGCAACCACTCGATGTGTCCCTTTCACATCGATGTTTTTCTCTCTCCCTCCCTCCCACTGTATCTGAACAAAAAAAATGAAAAAATGTCCTCAGGTGAGGATAAAAAATAAATAAATAAAATGTTTTCAGCAAAATGTTGGGGCCTTGATTACCAATTTATTGTGTGATTGTATAGTCAGTTCCAAAAGAGAATTATGACTCTGCTACCCTAGTCCATCCTCTTCTATCCTTGTTAAGCACCTCAAAATGCCACAGATGAGCCCTGGCCAGTGTGGCTCAGCTGGCTGGGCGTCTTCCCACGCACTGAAAGGTTGCTGGTTTGATTCCAGGTCAGGGCACATGCCGGGATTTGGAGCTCAATCCCTAGTAGGGGGTGTGCAGGAGGCAGCAGATCAATGTTTCGCTCTCATATTGATGTTTCTCTCCTCCCCCCCCAAAATAAAAACGAAGTCACAGACGAGGTTACCCTAAGCCTAGTTTACAGGCGACTGTTAAATGTATAGACCGTGCATCTAACAGTTGGCAAAGAGGAGGAGCCGGGGCTCTCAGAGCTAACGTTCCAAGCAAAGTCCAGCTGAGACCATGAGCAACCAGGAAGGATGGCCAATGGATAATAAACACATACTTCGTTCTGACTTTCAAATACCACAGCAGTCAAAGAAAGCCATAAAGAATGATTAAGCCTCAAGAACAGGGCACCATACCTATTGGAATTTTCTTTTCTTTTAAATTTACTTTTGTTACAGATGTTTCTCCTTTTTTACCCCATTGACACCCTCCTCCCCATCCCCCCCCGCCCCGTCCCCGGCTTTGTTGTCCATGTCCATTGGTTATGCGTACATGCATATAAGTTCTGTGGTACATCTCTTCCCTCCCCCTACCACCCCCTCTTTTGAGGTTGTCAATCTGTACCCCACTTCCATGTCTCTGGGTCTACCCTATTCCTCAGACTGTTATGTTCATTATATTCCACAAATAAGTGAGATCATAAGGTATTTGTCTTTTTTTGCTTGGCTTGTTTCACTTCGGATAATACTTTCCAGGTCGCTCCATGTGTTCTCAAAGGATAAGAGATCTTTCTTTCTTATAGCTGCACAGTATTCCATTGTGTCCTATTGGAATTTTCAAGCAAGAATGAGAAAAGTAGCTATTTATTTACATATATTTCCCCTTTTTTTTTTTTTTTTGGTACATGCCCCTAGCAGGAACCAAACCAGGGACTCTCTGGTCTGCAGGCTGACACTCCTACCGCAGCTGCTGAGCCAAACCGGCCAGGGCTATTTTCCCCCCTTCATACGTGAGTATCAAGGATATGCCGTGGGACTTTTCCCCTAAAATCATTAGTAACTGCTAAATTATTATGTTGAAACAAAAAACCAAAAAAATATTATGCTCCTAATTCCTTTATCATATAACTATTTTAATTGTTGCCTTTTCCAACTGCATATATACTTTTAAGTAATTCTAAATAAAATATACATGTTGTTTAGTATTCCAAATTTTCACTTAAATACATCATAAATTGTTTTCACACGGTTCTCAGAACAGTTACATGGTTAATTCCACTATGTAAATCGCTCCCTCATGGGGCTGACTGGTTAGGTCACTGCTGTAGGCAGAACCACTGTGTATCAAACTGAAAAGTCTGGTGAAACAAAGAGTATTGATGGGGGGCTCATCCAACAACTTTTCATGCAACAAATATGTCCTAAGCAGCTACTATGTACCAGGCACTGTACCTCAGATGTGCACTCTTAACCACAAGAGTTATCCTTTCTGGAATAAGGCAAGATATACATAAATAGATTAAATTAAAAGTCACACACACACAAAAAGTTTTTTAAGACCTGGCTCCCCAGCACCTGTAAGGTAACATACGAACTCTTCACATGGCATACAAATTCCCACGTGACCTGGCTGTGGCCTCTTTCTCCCAACAATCCCAGTCTCAAACTTTTCAATGACAGCCCTGAAGTTCTTCTAGCACTCTCGTCACTCACCCAACAGACACACATATGAATAACCTGAGATCGTTTCACATTTTTCCTCTATAATGCCTTCTATTCCTTCCTATCCCCGTTTGCCTGGAGACCAAGTAATTCTTTAAAACTAAACTCAGACATCAACTTTTATGTCTGCAGTACACGTTCCCTCCTTACTCCCACCAGCATGTAGCACAGTAACTCTGCACTGCTGTGTGCACCCACTAGCCTGAGCTCCTCGAGAGGGACTATGTCTTCCCAGTTTATGTCTGCAGTACACGTTCCCTCCTTACTCCCACCAGCATGTAGCACAGTAACTCTGCACTGCTGTGTGCACCCACTAGCCTGAGCTCCTCGAGAGGGACTATGTCTTCCCAGTTTATGTCTGCAGTACACGCTCCCTCCTTACTCCCACCAGCATGTAGCACAGTAACTCTCTGCACTGCTGTGTGCACCCACTAGCCTGAGCTCCTCGAGAGGAACTATGTCTTCCCAGTTTTGTGAGTGCAGGACTTACCCTGTACTTTGTACATAGTAATCCTCACATGTTTGAGTAAATGCCTGTATTAACACTATTTCATTAAGACTGAACACATATCAGATTTTGCTCACACACAGATTTCTAGCGGGCTAAGGCTGTCTACAGGTAAATCTGTACACTAAAACAGACGCTTATCTCCGAGACTATGAAGACTTACTGCATTAACTCTACAAAGGGCAGCACTTTCTGTTAAGGTTAAGACTATAAAGTATTCATTTTCTTGATGACAGGATCTCTGATGTGTTAGAGAATCCAGAGATTCCAATGAAGACACCACTTCTAACATATGAGCAGTGGAGCAGAACACACCACATCTAAGCTGATCCAAACTCATGTCTAATTAAAACAAAACTCAGGACTAGGACAAGTCTCATATGCAGTTTTAAAAATTATCAGAAAACGGTAAAAAAAAAAAAAAAAAAGGCTACTGAGACAACAAAGAGGATTTCCACTTCTAACCAAGGATGAGTAGTTAGAAGATGACTCTCAGCTGGTCTGGGAAATGATGAGACCAGTAAGACAATGGAATGCATCAGAAAAGAGTTTTGCAGGAGTATCACAAACTGCTTCCACCCAAAGATTCTTTATATTCACGAACATCACGTTTCTAAGATTCCGCACCTGACCTAGTGGCATCAAGGTCCCCACCCCAGACCACATACCAGTACGATGATTTTGGCCTGTGGCTGCCTCGTGTTGATAAGTTGTACGATGGCCTCGATTCCACCTGCCACTTCTTCTGCCGTGTTTTCATGGTTGTTTGTTCCTACCCAGACAACAATGACCTATGATTCAGGGAGGAAAAAAAGGGAGAATGATAAATACCCAGAAATAAAGGAATGTCTCAAATGCTATTGAGTAACTTCAACTGAGCATACACCTTAAAACACGAATTTACATCTCATATGTTGGGATAAACCTGCAGAGATGAACACTTACGTGGTAGAACTTTACTAGAACAAGAGAAATTCTTCCTCACCACAGAGCTGGAAGCCACTCTTAACATCCAGAAACTACACAGAAAACTAAAAAGTTCAATAAAAATAAAACTGGTCCATTTCAAAAACAAACCAACAAATAAAAACCAGAAGTGAAATCTAAAAAACCTGGGGAAATATCTGCTCCCTGTATCCCAAAGTCCCGACTAGAAGTTCCAAAGAGCCAAGGGAGCGCCACAGGTGTAAGGACATGGCTGCACTCAAGGAAGGTCGTGGGGTGGAAGCTGGACCAAGTTTTAGTAAGTTCTTCTCTTTAACAAAATAATTTTACGACATGGCTGTCGCCTAGAGACACACATCTCACTATATACATCAAGGCAATTTCCCACCCTATCACAAGAGAGAGGAACAGGGATGAGTTTTCTATTAGAAAGGCAAGAGAAATAAAACTGAAGCAGTTGTTATCAGTGGCTCAGCTTTGTCTTTTTCTTCATTTGGGGTTGAAAAAAAAAAGCAGGATGTTTATAATGTGATAAAGTACTAGGTACACGTTTATGATAAACCTTTGTTCACAATTGCTTCCAATTTTATTCAGAAGACCATGGAGACTTTGATTACCAATCTGTTGATATGGGTCAACAGATCCAAAGTCCTTCCTGAAGTGAGTCCTAGCCCTGCCCCCACGGCCCACCGCTGACCAAGTTTACCCCTCTTACTGTGTCAGGGTCATCGAATCACATACCTCATTAGCAACAAACCTCTCCCTACAGCTGATGAAGATAATTACAACAATTACAAATACCATTCAAGAAGCAATGCCTGGTACATAGTAGCTGCTTAGCACATACTTGTGGCATGAAAGTTGTTGAATGAGTCCTCCATAAGTATAAGCAAAGAAAATATCATTTATCTTAATGGGGCATGAACCAAAGAACAGTGAAATAATGCTTCATAGAAGCAACATTTCTACTACCAGTTTCAGACAATTTAACTATCTGAAAAAGACTTAAGATTAACGATATCCTTTAAAACATAAGTTTCTGCCCAGCTGGTGTGGCTCAGTGGACTGAGCGTCGTCCCATGGACTGAGTGAGAGGTCCCGGTTGGACTCCCGGTCAGGGCACATGCCCGGGCTGTGGGCTTGATCTCCGGGGGGGGTGAGTGCAGGAGGCAGCTGATGGATGTATCTCTCTCACATTGATGTTACTTTCTCTCTCTAAAAAAATCAATACAAACATATTTAAAAAAAATAAAAACTGTTGCCCGGGCCAGTTTGGCTCAGCAGTAGAGCGTCGGCCTGCAGACCAGAGTCTCGGGTAAGATTCCGCCAAGGGCACGCACCCCGGGTGCAGTCGTCCCCAGCCCTGGTCAGGCTGTGCAGGAGGCAACCAGCGACGTGTCTTCTCACACGGATGTTTCTCTCCCTCTCTCCCACTCTGTCTGATGATAAACAGAAAAATATTCTCGGGTGAGGATTAGAAAAAAAAAAAGTTTCACTTCACCTTAGGTTTAATGTTCTCCAGTTCTCCATTCTTTAGCCTCCACAAAACATGTCTTGTTGTATCTCCTCCAATTCCAAAGTTCAGGGCATGGAGCGGGGAAAAAAGCTCTCGCCAAATCTAAAAAGAGAAACACTTGATTTATTTAAGCTAACTTCAGTGGGAAGTAAAGCCCCTCAGTTGCCACGTGTTGTGAGGCCTGCGGAGTCACACTTCCGCTCCGCACTGCACAGCCCGGGCCGCGTGCGCAGCTCTTCCCGCAGCGTCCGCCTGACTCAGGAAAGGAGTCACAGCTCCACCTGTTGCCCTTAAGAGGGAGCTACGTCTACAACGAAGTTACCAGCTCAATAAACTCTCCCTTCCCTTTACGCAGCCATCCGAAGGGACAGGGTGCAGTAGACACAAGATGGAGACATTTAGACAGCAGGAGCCAGAAAGAAACAAAGCTATCTTTCTTTTCAATGGCCCTTGGAAGACAGCCTAACCTTAAACAATTTTTGGAACAGCTCACTACAAAAATACATAAAGTAAGAAGATGGTAAAACACAAACAGTCAGAATTGAGAATCATGACTAAGACAAACATAAATGAGCAAATACAAACAAGAAAATAGTAAAACACAAATAAGAACTGAAAATCATGACTAGGACAAATTTAATATATGTAATGTGAAGCTTCTTAGAAGCCAAGGCAAAAAGAAGTTTGGTTGTAAGGAACGCTACCTTTCTTTGGTCTCATTACGCCTAGTGGCACGAAGGACTCCACCAGGTACGTCCGACACCTCGCACCTGAGCAGAGCGCTTCCAAAGTGTTATTAGTATGTCTACAGGGTCAGCCAGAATGCAAGTCCGCTCGTGATGAACACGTCTGCGTTAGGAGCCACGCCATCCCGACTCCCACTTTACCTCGTACTGCTGCATTAACTGCACCATGGAGTCCCCCACAAACAGCACCTCAGGCTCTTTGTCTTTGCAGTCCAGGACAAATCTGTTGTGCTGGTTTGAAGAAAGAAAAAAAAATCAGAAACTGGCTATTTCTTTCCCCATGAGACTTCTTGGCCTAGATAGAACAGTTGTCCAACCAGTTACTCTGTTGTTTAAGCATCCTGTTTGGCCTGTCCCTAAAGCTGATTCCTCTTGATCGGTAGCAAACTGCTGGGACTTTATCCTTACTATATCTGTCATTCTCATATGCTCAAGAAAACCGCAATTTTACTGAAACCAAAATTTAAAAAATACATTTAACTTGTTTTCTAAAAATTTATTTTCCTCAAGCTTTTAAAAGAAAATTTCAGAAAAGTTGAATTAATACAATGAACACCTGTACATCTTCTACCTATAATCAATAACATTTTCCCATATTTGTTTTATCTGTATGTGTGTTTGCTGAACCATTTGAAGAAGGTAACTGCAAACATTGTGATTCTTCACCTTTAAATATTTCAGCATGCATCTCCCAAGTGTAAGGACAGTCTCCTATAAAACCACAAAACTATGATCACATCTAAGAAAATGAACAGTAATCCCATAACATCTAATATTCAGTCCATATTCAATCTCTCCAATTGTCCCAAGAGTTGGATTTCTATCTATCCAATCAAGAGCATGTAATTTATTTGAATATTTTTAATATGCCTTTGAAAGTGTGTTACTTGCAAATATGAGACACTGGCAAACTAGGACTCAAGCCTCTGAGTCTAATCCAAGCTCACAAGCGGTGGGACCCCAGTCCTGGAATGCTTCTCTTTGCTCTAAAGGCTTAAGACACTTTCTAAAATGTGTTTTGCCCCACAATGCTTCATACTTTTATATTCATCCCTGAAACAATCTTCACGATGCTTCAGGCGACAGGTCTCAAACCCAGTTCTAGGGAAAGGTCTGAATGCCGTTTCTCTTTCTCAGACCACCTTCGACTACCCCCATCAAGGCAGAGGCACTGTTTAAGTGTATCTGCTGACAATACCAGTGGCAGCTGAGCTGTGCTGAACCCGAGACATTCGTTTGCTACAGGTGGAAATGCAAAAATACTTCTGGAAATAATCTGACAATTTATTAAAACAGCTTCCCTCTTAGGGTGACAGGATTTGGGATAGATTTTTCTTTTCTCTCACGTCCGTCTTGTGTGAATATATTTTTTAAAATTCTACTGTTCAATAAGTGTTTTGAACTGAAGGGCATGACGAGCCAGAACAAGACCTGAGTCAGTGAGTGAGCAGGCAGCGTCGGTTCAGGGCGGTCCCTGCACGTGCCAGGCACAGAGCCAGCTGCCCTGCAGCCGGGCTCTGCTGGGGTCAAGAGTCATTATGTGATCATGTGCACCTTCTCCTGGCACAGCAGGCTGTGAGGGCAGGACAACCTAGGTTCGATTCTAGCTTCTTGTCCAGTGACTATAAGCAACTACAAACTGACTCTTATTTTCCACATCCGCCAGCAACTGTTTCGGTTGTGAAGAGGAGAGTTGTAGGAGAGCACCCGGCCTTTGGCTGGCACCCCGTAGGCACTCAATAAACAGCAGCCAATATAACAGCACTTGACAATATACTAAAAGTATTTTTCTACATAGCTATGTGATTCTCAGAACCATAATTTTTTTTTAAAAAGAAGATTGTTATTTTATTTCTTTTAATCCTCGCCCTGAAGATATAATTTTTAATTGATTTTGTAGAAAGGAAAGGGGAGAGAGAAACATCCACTGGTTGCCTCCCATACCTGCCTTGACCAGGGATCAAACCTGCAACCTTGCAATGTACAGGACAACACTCCAACCAACTAAAACCATAATTTTTAAAGGCCACATAATAGCCTACTAAATGCACCTACTGACACCATTTTTTTTTTATACTCACCCGAGGACATTTTTCCATTTTTTGTTCAGATAAGAGTGGGAGGGAGAGAGAAAAACATCGATGTGAAAGGGACACATCGAGTGGCTGCCACCCGCACAGCCCAACCAAGGCCATGGACAAACTGCAACCGAGGTACATGCCCTTAGCGGGAACCAAACCCGGGTCTCTCCGGACCACAGGCCGATGCTCTAACTGCTGAGCCAAACCAGCCAGGGCAACACCATTTTTTAAAAGCTCTTTTCCGCCCTGGCCGGTTTGGCTCAGCAGTTAGAGCATCGGCCTGCGGTCCGGAGAGACCCGGGTTCGGTTCCCGCTAAGGGCATGTACCTCGGTTGCAGTTTATCCCCGGCCCTGGTTGGTTGTGCGGGTGGCGACCACTCGATGTGTCCCTTTCACATCGATGTTTCTCTCTCTCTCTCTCTGTTCCTCTCTCTGAACAAAGAATGGAAAAATGTCCTCGGGTGAGGATGATATAAAAAAAAAATAATAATAAAAAATAAAAGCTCTTTTCCTATGGACAGACTTGGCAGTAGCCTCTTATTTACTGTGATAAAGTAATGTACACACATTTTATTTGTTATATTGTGGGAATTCTTAAGTCAAAGGGGATTAACATTTTCATAGATCTTGGATATATTTCCAAATTCTTAACAAAAAAGCTATATATCTATAATGACTCCAGCAATGTATCAAAACTGTTTTTACTGGACTTGAACCTGCACTGGATATTAAGGTTTCTCTCTCCCCCTCCCTCCATTCTTTCCCCATTGTTTTAATCTATACCCTCTGGAAACAAAAAGCAAACACTTCTGTCTTGTTTACTGAGATACTTATCTAGTGGTGCCTTAAGGACATTTTTATTGATATTGTAATAAAAAGTATCAATGCTTCAGCTGTAATGTTTACTGCAAATAGTTTCCTCAATCTGCTGAGTCTTCTTTTTCTGGTTAATGTTTTGATATGATTTATATTAAGTTTATCTACAGTCAAGTCTTTCACTATCACCCTTAAAAACCTTTCGTTATGGAAAATATCAAACATATGCAAAAGTAGAGAGAACACAAAGAACCTCCACGTCCGGCACCAGCTACAGCAGTCATCTAACTTACGCCAGTACTACTCCCGTCACTCCCCTAACCACTGCCTCGCCATCCTGATTACTTTGAAACAAACCAAGGATACAGGGTTTCGTGTAGAAATATTTCAGTGTGTGACTCTTAAAAGATTTTAAAGATATATACCCACAATACCAAATTCTACATCCCTCCAAATTAATAGTAATTATTTAATATTAACAAATAATATATTCAAATTCAACGTCACAAAATTGTTTTACAGACTTCTTCAAAACCAGGACCCAGTTTCTCTCTTTTTTTCTTTATTGATTTTTAGAGAGAGAGGAATGGAGAGGGAGAGAGAGAAATATCGATGAGAGAGAACATGGACTGACTGCCTCCTGCACATCCCCTCCACTGGGGACCAGGCCCACAAACTGGGCATGTGCCTTGACCAGGAATCGAACTGGCGACCTCTTGGTGCATGGGTCGACAGTCAACCACTGAGCCACACCAAGCGGGTGAATTTGTCTCTTAAATCCCTTTTAATCTACAGCTTTCTCCTCCCTCTGTCACCATCTCCTAAACTTAGTATTATTTTTTTATCCTCATCCAAGGATATTTTTCCACTGACTTTTTTTAGATAGAGTGGAAGGGAGGAAGGGCGGGAGAGAGAGGGAGAAAGAGAAACATGGATGTGAGAGAGACAGATACATCGGATGTCTCTCACGCAAACCGGACCAGGGCTGCAAATCGAACCTGCAACCCAGGTATGTGCCCTTGACTGTAATCGAACCTGCAACCCTTCATTCCGCAGGCCGACGTTCTAACCGCTGAGCCAAACAGGCCAGGGCCCCCAAACTTATTTTTAAGGAATGTAATTGTTCGACCTACAGCCTGGATTGTGATGTTTACATTCTTGTGGTGGTGGTGAACCTGTTTGAGTATTTCCTGACATATGGTAGGTAAGTCTACATTAGGGTTTACTACTTTGGCAATACTTGAAGGGCAGTATTGACTATAACTTGAATATTTGTTTTATTTTATTATTATTTTTTTTATCCTCACCCGAGGACACTTTTCCATTTTTTGTTCAGATAGAGTGGGAGGGAGAGAGAGGAAGAGAGAGAGAAACATCGACGTAAAAGGGACACATCGAGTGGTTGCCACCCGCACAACCCAACCAGGGCCGGGGTCAAACTGCAACCGAGATACGTGCCCTTAGCGGAAACCGAACCCAGGTCTCTCTGGACTGCAGGCTGATGCTCTAACTGCTGAGCCAAACCGGCCAGGGCTTGAATATTTGTTTTAATCATGATTATTTTTCTTTTAATGTTTTTCAAAGTAATTTTCGATCAACAAAAGAGTTGCAAAGATAGTTGAGTATTGCCACCTATCCTCCACTTAGCTTCTTCCAGCATCTTACACAAATAAGCATGGCACATTTGTCAAAACTAAAAAATTAAGGCCTGGTGTGGCTTAGTGGTTCAGCGTCGACTCATGCACTAAGAGGTCCGTGGGTCGATTCCCGGTCAGGGCACATGTCCCATTTGCAGGCTTAATCCCCAGTAGGGGGTGTGCAGGAGGCAGCTGATAGATGTTTCTCTCTCAATGATGTTTCTCTCTCCCCTTCTACCTTCCTCTCTCTCTAAAAATCAATAACATATTTTTTAAAACAAACTTCTTTAAAAAAAAAAACTAAGATTGCTAAACACCATCAACTAAAATAGTTTATTGAAATCTCACCACTTTTCCCACTAATGTCGTTTATCCGTTCCCAGAGCTAGACCAGGATATCATGTTGCATTTAGTCTCCTCAGTCTCTTCCAATACAGGACAGTGTCTTGGTCTTTCCTTATCTTTTATGACCTTGACATGTTGTGGTCAGGTGTTCTGGACAATGTCCCTCAGTGTGGGATTGTCTGATGTTTTCTCATGAACAGACTGAGGTTATGGACTCTTCTGGAAGACTACCAAGGAAGTGATGTGTCCTTGCTTTATCAGGGGACACATGATACCGATATGACTTATTACTAGTGATATTAACATCAATAACTAGGTTAAGGTGGTGTTTTCTACAGTTTTCCACTATAAA